CACACACACACACACACACACACACACCCACACACACACACACACACACACACAGATTTTTACGGGTGTAGGTATGCTGGTCTTGTTGTATTTGGGTCCTTTCCCATGTAAGATTGAGATTGTCTTGGCAAAGTTCGGCGAGGTCTCATCTTCAGGCTGGTGTTTTGGGTCCTATATCATATATATATGATAAATGCATAAAGAATGTTCTAAATTGTAACTAGAGAATTACTTTTTCATTTTTAATTGTATTCAGAGTTGGAACTGGACTGACAGTAGATAGTAGAACAGCGGCCTTTTAAAAAAATCTCCAGCGTTCACGGTATGGAAGTATATGTCAATTCATATACAATCATAGCAGGTGCAAAACAGAAACTTACCTATTTGTGTCACCTTTTTGCTAGTCTAATTAAATTGCAGCTACTAAAACATTCTTATTAAGAATATTTCTTATCCGATGATTACTAGTAATTTATTTTAATAAATAACTCTCACTAAGTACTGTTGCTTAGATACTACATGGAAAAAAACCCCTAATATTCGGCTCATTCTGGTTTATATTTTACCAAACGCACGATTTAGAAGATACAGTGATTTCTGAATGGATTACAGGATTCAGGCAGTCCATGTTCCTGAGTTCAGTATGCATTAAAGCTGCAGTGACTCTAAAAGATTTGACTCTAAGGATTTTTAAGAAGGAAATATTACTGTGTGTGCATGCTCTATGTGCATTATGCAATAGCTGGAATAGGGTTCATAACTGATAGGTAAATGGATTGATTGGGGATAGTAAGCTATACATTTTCCAAATGCTTTAGGCAAATGCCCTGATTGTTTGATCAGAATTACCAGGGAACAGCATAATATCTCAAAAAGCACTTTCGTTCTGAAGAAGCTCAAGCTGCTATTAATGCTTTCCCTTCACCCATAAGTGTGACAGCCTGAACAAACTGTTTCATATATTGAGTCATCAGTGCAGCTTTAAAAATTATACTCCTTAAAACTGCCAGCTGTGAACCTTTTATTTTTCTCTCTCTCTTCAAAAAAAAAAAATCCAAATTAGGATATGCTTAAAAATGTAGATGGGTACAAAAGGACATTTCAGGAAATCCGCCGAGCTCAGTCTGTCAATGGAGTCCCTATTCCGTTAGAGCAGCTTGATGATATGGCTGAGAGGTAAGTCGGGATTCATTCTTGAATGTTGCCGTGATAAAGTGTTGTTCATTTCTGTTAAAAGGGTTTTTCTGTTAAAAGGGTTTTTTTTAATAGCAGAGGAAACAAGTGTCCCACACTGTAATTATCTTTCCTGGTCACTGACACAATTGAGCAAAAATACTTGAAAGTAAATAAGCTATACATTTTGAAAATGCAATACAGCTGTTTGTTGTTGTTTGCCACCTAACAGAAGGCAAATCATTGTGTAACAACATCATTGGGAAATGTTTATGGGAGCTGAGAGAAGGAAATCACTGCTTAATAAAAAATAGTTTACAATTCTTTTCAGTGTCTTTACTGGAAAAGAAGCTCTATATAATACGTTTTTCATTCTGTGTGAACGTGCTTAGAACTGAACAGTGATTCATACATTTCTTCACTTTATAAACCTACTCAGCTAATTTACTTTTGGTTATTTAAAGAGCTGGCTACAGAATAAGGAAAATTCAACATTTAATGTCTTCCTGTTTTGCAGCTTTGCAGCATGAATTGTAATTTTTTTGCTCATTGCATGTTTCTGTGTTTAACGATGGGGTAATTCATGTCTAGGTTTAATTTTGTTGCCTCTTCATCTGATCTCCATCTGCTGAAAATGGAGTTCTTGGAACTGAAGTACCGCTTGCTGTCACTCTTGGTCCTGGCTGAATCAAAATTAAAATCATGGATTATCAAATATGGAAGAAGAGATTCGGTTGAGCTGCTTCTTCAGAACTATATGGCAAGTTTACCAGGGTTTCGGAATGTGCAATTTTAAGAAAGAAAATATATGAACCAAAAAACACAAACAGCTAACGTGATAGTATAGTGTTATTTTTCCCAATTATACTCCTGGATTGATTTTAAACAGGGCAGAACTGTAAGGAAATAGGTGGGCATGAAGCTTCCCACATTGGGATGAGTCAAGGCACACACATATTTTTATCATGCAGGCAAGGCATGCTACATGAAGCACATTGCAGATAGATCACATTCCCTAGAACAGAGCTGGTCACTCAGCAACAATATTTAAATTTGTGTGGGTCTGTATGTGTGTGTGTGTGTTAATTCTGTTCTTATTGCCTTGGAAGAAGGTTCAGTTTAGAGTAACCTAAACCCTTTAAGGAAGGGTTGGTAGGACAAGTAACTTCAGAATTTATCATTATAACATGCTATTAATTCTTTTGGAGATTGGGTCTCAAACTTGATGGTAAATACAGATAGTCCTCAACTTACAGCAGTTCGTTTAGTGACCATTCAAAGTAACAACAGTACTGAAAAAGTGACTTATGACTGTTTTTCACACTTACGACCGTTGCAGCACCCCCGTGGTCACATGATCAGAATTCAGATGATTGGCAACTGGTTTGTATTTATGAATGTTGCAGGGTCCTGGAGCCATGTGATCAGCTTTTGTGCCTTCTGACCAGCAAAGTCAACGGGGAATCCAAATTCACTTAACAACTGTGTTACTAACTTAATAACTGCAAATTAACAACTGTGGCAAGAAAAGGGGCAAACTCACTTTATAATGTTTTACCTAGCACCATGAATTTTGGGTTCAATTGTGGCTGTAACTCGAGGACTACCTGTACTTCTTTTACATACAAAAGGTCTTTCTTCATTCTGCAACATCATCTAATAGAACTGGAAAATGCAACTAAACCTTGACTTATAACTATTCGTTGAGCAACTGTTTGAAGTAATTAAAGTATTTTAAAAAGTGACTTTCAACTGATCCTCACATTTACAATGGTTGCAGTAGCTCTGTGGTCACGTAATCAGAATTCTGATGCTTAGCAACTGGCATGTATTTATGCCTCCAGCATGCCAGCATTATGTGGTTGCCATTTGCATTCTTCCCCAGTCAGCTTCAGAAATGGAAAAAGTCGATGGGGAAAGCTAGATTTGTTTAACAACTCTGTGATTCACTTATTAAATACAATGTTTTGGGTGATAACCATGGCAATCAAGACCATAGAATTGGGCGCAACTCACTTAACAACCATATAAGGGGGGGGAACACAATTACATAGAATAACAGAGTTGGAAGGGGCCTCAGAGTTCTTCTAGTCCAACCCACTGCTCAGGCAGGAAACCCTACACCATTTCAGACAAATGGTTATCCAATCTCTTCTTAAAAACTTCCAGTGGAGCATTCACAGCTTCTGGAGGTAAGTTTTCACTGATTAATTGTTCTAACTGTCAGGAAATTTCTCCTCAGTTCTAAGTTGCTTCTCTCCTTGATTAGTTTCCACTCATTGCTTCTTGTCCGGCCCTCAGGTGCCTTGGAGAATAACTTGACTCCCTCTAATTTGTGGCAGCCCCTGAGATATCGGAACACTGCTATCATGTCTCCCCTAGTCCTTCTTTTCATTAAACTAGACATACCCAGTTCCTACAACTGTTCTTCATATGTTGTATAATCATCTTCTGGGTCTCTCTCATGTTCTTTGACTTTCTTCTCTTT